GGACCGGCTCTTGAGCAGCGGGACGAGCTGGGCAGAGCCAAAAGGTACCTCCGAGGAGGTTGAGCTCGCCTGGGAAGAGTGGGACGCCTCCGTGAGCTTCCTGAGGATGCTCTTTGACGTCCCCGAGGCTTGGAGCACGACCTTCCAGGCGAGTTTCACGCAGGCGCTCTCCGTACGTGAGCGCCTCGCGTTGCCGGGAACAGCACGTGCTACGAGGTGGACCGGCGGCGACGCCACCACCTCATCGATCGGCGCCATCGACTGGGGACGTGCAACGGCAGAAGGAGCCCCACCCACGCCGGAGTACATGGCCGTGGACGCCAAGCCCCTGCTCGAGGCCCTGAGCCAGGCGGTCGGGGGGGAGAGCAGCGAGGAGGATTGGATCATCGCAGTGGTCGAGCTGTTGGCAGTGGTCGCGCTGGCCACGAAGCAGGGCCCGAAGTGGGAGGGTGAGCTGGTCTTCTACGTCACAGACAATCAGAACGTGAAAGCGTGGCTCACTAAGAGGAGCCCCAAGAACACCCTCGCACGCCACCTGATTTGTCTAGTGGAGAGGATCGAAGCCATACACGGATGCCGCCGCATCACCTCCTTCTTTGTTCGGACCTACCACAACGAGGTGGCCGACTGGCTCACCCGCGAGGAGGTCAAGAAGGGTCACGACACGCTGGCTACCGAAGGGTGGGAGCGCCTCGAGCCCCCTGCAGCTTGGGGCCAGATCCTGGAGGACGCCAAGGAACGCCTCCTCCGTCTCCCCGGGGAGACGGGCCCAGTGGCCGAAGCCGCCCTGCGACACCGAGCACTCCAGAGGGGGCATGGGCCGCCGAGACCCCTCCCGCTCCACGGGAAGCTGGGCAGAGAGGTGGGGAGCCTCTTCAACCCCTACGCGAAGGCCCTCAAACGCCTTGGTGGGTCAGAACCCGAGGAAAACCAGAAGGCAGACTGGCTCATGGCGTCGCTGTCCCTGGACCCCAAGGGCCGAGAGATGGAGGCGTTCCTCGTCGCTGCGACCAGCGAGAGCCCCGAAGTGGTGATCGTGGACGCCCCGAACGGTGTGGACACGGCCAGGCTCGAGAAGGCGCTCAAGCAGCTGGGCTACGTGGTCGGGAAGTTCGAGGTAATCTGCACGCACCACGGGGATGCCACCACGCGGACCAGGCAGGTGCTCACAGGCGGACGTCGGAAGACGGGGGCAGGCCTGGCGAGCATTAACATGCCGCCGGCCTGCTCACGGGCTGCCGGCATCAAGCCACTCTTGGACAAGGGGAGGGACCACCTCTGGCTCGACCAGCAAGGCGAGGTGTCGTGGGACCCCCGCACCCAGTCCACCAGCGACCCCCTCCTCCTCAAGCCGGTCGGCCACCTCAAGAAGGACGGGGGGAGGCACCTGATCTACAGCGAAGAGGGGCCCGTGGGCACCATTCGCTGGCACCCCAAGGACCAGACGCCACGCTCAATCGGGCCACCGGGGGAGGCAAAGGCACGGTCCGAGCCTTGACACCCCAAGAGGTTTGGCCGGTGCAGGGAGGGACCGACGACGAGTGGGCCAGCTTGCAGGCCCAGGGCTCCACGGAGGATGAGCTCCTGAAGGGCGCAGCCAGAGCCCTCCCACCGAGGACCGCAGACGCAGTGCTGGGCGCAGTGGCAGAGGCTCTCAGCAGCACCAGCACGCAGCGCGCTGGAGCATACCATGACCCCGAGGAGCAGGCCGCGCGGGAGGCCACCAAGCGCTGGTTTCGTGCCTGGGCGCAAGCGCCGGATCGACCCACGCTCGCGCTGGCGGCGGAGGACGAGGCAGGAGCCGGCGGCGCACTCACCGACGAGATGCACAAGAATCGCCGGCGTGCCCAGGCGGTCCGCTTCCGGGAGATCGACGAGGACGCGATCATCGGACCTCGCGAGGCCCCAGCCGCAGAGGCGGTCAAGCTGGACAAGCGAGCGACCCGCTCGAAGAGCCCACGCAAGAAGAGCCCCCGACGAGCCAAGGAGATGCCAGCGGCCAACCTGGTGAAGCCGCAGGCGCCGGGCATCGCGAGGAAGAACAACAACCCCGGGAAAGAGCTCGCCCCCGCCGGCCGTGCTGAGCCAGGCGGGGCCGGCTACACCAGCTGGTTCGCGCAGCACAAGATGGAGGCCATGCTGCAAAAACTCAGCGAAGGCACGAGAGCGGGCTACGAGGGAGGATGGCGGCTTTGGGTAGCCGTGCGCCAGGCGCAGGGGCTTAGCCCTTGGCTCCCAGGGCGCGACCGCGAGGAGCGCCTAGCCGATGGGGAGGCGCTCATCAACTTCGCCGTCCTCCTCGCGCGGGTCGTCGGGGGGACGGAAGGGACCATCAAGCAGAAGCTCTTTGCGGTGCGCTACGCTCACCTGGTAGCTGGCTACTCGGACCCCCTGCTCCACAGAGGTCGCCTCTGGAGCACCCTGGCGGGGCTGAAACGCCGGCAAGGACCCGAGACCAAGCGGAAGAAGCCCGTCACCCCAGCCATGCTCGAGTGGTTCCGCGGCTTCCTCCAGCAGGAGGCCAAGCTCCCCGAGGAGGACGCAGTAGTCATCTGGGCGGCGACCGTGACGGCGTTATTCTTCCTCCTGCGGGCCTCAGAGTACCTCCTCCAGGACGGGCGCTCGCGGTCCTTCGAGCGCGTGCTGCACGGGGAGGACGTAGAGCCCAGAAAGGCCGGCAAACGCGTGCCCAGCTTCCAGGACGCCGACGAGATGGCGATCTATATCAAGGGCAGCAAGACGGACCGGCTCAACGTCGGGACGGCGAGGAACCACTACCGCGCCGGCACGACGCTCTGCCCGATCGCGGCGATCGAGCGGCTCCAGGCTCACCATCCCCAGCGGATAAAAGGCACCGAAGAACGGCTGCCCATTTTCCGCTGGGCGTCAGGTACCCCAATTCGCAGGGCCGAGGTGCAGCACTTCCTGTCGGTCGCGGGGCTGGCCGCCGGGCTCTCCAGGGAGGAGATCGGCAGCCACTCCTTGAGGATCGGCGGAGCGACCGCGATGTACCACGTGACCGAAGACCTCTCCCGGGTGCGCCGGTTCGGGCGCTGGCAGTCAGACGCGTTCCACGGCTACCTGTGGGAGTCGCACGAGCCGATGAAGGGCGTCTCCAGCAAGATGGCCAGGGGCACCTCCTCGCTGACCAACCCGGCGAAGGACAGCACCCCCCGCCAGGGCCGCCGCCGGCGCCGAGGGCGCCAGGCGTGAGAGCCCATGACGAGGGGCCGCGGCGGGCGCCGCCGGCGCAGGTACACCTGGCGCGCGCCCAGCCCAAGCCGCCGGCCTAACCGCCGCGCGCGCTTGGAGGCTGCAACTCAACATCCGCGCCGCCAGCACACCAGCCGCGCGCCCGCAGGACATCCCCCGCCCGTGCTTCCAGCACTGGCCAATACTCTCGCGGTGTCAGGCGCGCGCGGGCTTGCCCGCTTCGGGCTCCACTAGTGCTTGGGCTACTGTGGGCGCCCTCTGCAATTGCCGAACTGGGGCCACGCTGGGCCCGCCTGGCGCGCCGGCTCCTTCGTCGAGCCCGGTCGCGCTAGGCATACTGCAGCCAGCACAAGTCGCGGCAGCTGACGGCCTGACAGCCCAGCGTAGCCCGCGGCACCAGAATTCAAGAGCGGGGCACAGGCCCGCCCACCAGCGCCGGCCCAGGGAACCCCCTCTGTCAGGGGCCGGACCCTGCCCGCCCCGAACACCTAGGGAGGAGCGGGGAGCCGGGAGAACTGCGAGGCCGCAGCGCGCACGGCGGGCACCGTGGCGCCGGCATCAGCCAGGCGCCACCCGCGGCGAGTTCGGGCCATGGCCCGAGGTCGGGCTCCGCCGGCAATGAGTGCGCCAGCGTGAGCCCCGGCCTAACCTCACGGAGGACAGCCGTGCACGCCGGCATCAGCTGCCTGGCGGCGAGCGGCCAGCAGGAGGGCCAGTTGGGCCCCATGCGCGCGCCGGCGCCTGCGCCCGGCTGTGCTCAACCCAGGAGGCTAGATGGCGCCGGCTGCACAGAGCCCGGCACCCAATTTTGACGGCGCCAACCACGGCGCCCGCACAGCAATGTTGACGCGCAGGCCCGCCAGCCAGCGTGCAGCGCCACTGGCAGCGCACGCCAGCACCGCTAGAACAAAGGCGGCGAGGCCCGCTTCGCGCGGCGGAAGGAGGGATCAGGAGCTTGCGGCCAGCGCAGCAGCAAAAGGAGTGCCGCGCAGGCATCATTGCCATCGTCTTCTGAGGGCCCGCTTCTGACCGCTTCGCGGCTGGCACGCCCCGCGGCCTTACAGCAGGCCGCGCTTTCGCTAGCGCCGCACTGCGGGGGCGGGGTCTTAGTTGCTTGTCCTAAACGGTTGGACCACGCCCTCCCCAGTCGGCTTGGGTTTCTTATTTCTCCCTGCCCTTGCCTCTGCTTGCTCCTCCCTTTCCCTCTCTCCCGCTCAAGCCTTCGGGGCTCAAAGCCCTCCCAGGGCCCCAACGGGCCCTCTTTTGCCCGCCCACCCTGGGCTTTGCCTCGGCGTCTAAAGGCACCGCGGCGAGGCCCGCTTCGCGTGGCGGAAGGGGGGATCAGGAGCTTGCGGCCAGCGCAGCAGCAAAAGGAGTGCCGCGCAGGCATCATCGCCATCGTCTTCTGAGGGCCCGCTTCTGACCGCTTCGCGGCTGGCACGTCCCGCGGCCTTACAGCAGGCCGCGCTTTCGCTAGCGCCGCACTGCGGGGGCGGGATCCGCCCACGGTCTTCAAGTGCACGGCTTGCCCCCCAATGCGGCGCAGGTGTTCAGGAGGCAGATGGCCAAGGCTGTCGCGAGGAAGGTCAAAGCTATCGGCGTTTTCGTCCACGTCGAATTACGTCCCCGCGCTAGATCTCTGTCCGCTTCCCCCTTCTCCTCCTCCTCCTCCTCCTCCTCGCTCTCCTCTTGTCCTCCTCGCCCTCTCTCCTCATCTTCATCCCACCCCCCTCGATATCGTGAGAGCGCTGGCTCTGGGCGCATTGCTGCCGCCCCCCCCTCCGAAGGAAGCGCGCCGCCGCACCCTGTTACGCAGCCGGACCAGAAGAGGGCCACTGTCCGCCAGAGGTGTTGCAAGGAGGAGGACGAGAAGGAAAAGGAGGTCGAGAGGGAGGAGGAGGGGCAGGCAGTGGAGGTGGAGGTGACGGAAAGAGCGTTCACGCGGTTCCATTCTTAATAAAACGTCAGCCCAAGGGGGAGTCCAGGGGGGGGGGGAGGCCGGGCGAAAAGTCGAATTGCCCTCCAGGGGCCCCAAACGGCCCAAGTGGCGCCCTCCCAAGATACGCCGAAGAGGCCCCCAAGACTGCCCAAGAGGGGTCCAAGCGGGCTCCAAGACGGCCAAACGCGTCCCAGGAAAGCCTAGGACCGCCCAAGAGCGTTCCAAGATGGCGTCAGATGACCTCAAGACGTCCCCTGAGGGCCCCAAGAAGATCCCAGAAGCCCCCAGGAGACGAAAAACATGTGTTGTTTTTAGGTTGTTTTTCATGTGTTTCCGATTCTCGCTTTTACGGGCCAAGAACGGCCCAGGACGGCCGCAGGGGCCCCAAGGATCGTCCCAAGACGGCCCCAACAGGGCCCCAAGAGGGCCCTAGAGGGCCTCAAGACGGCCCAAGAGGGCCCCAAAACGAGCCAAGAGGGCCCCAAAACGGCCCCAAGAGAGCCCCCAGATCGCCCCAAGAGGCTCCCAAGAGGGCCCGAGGAGGCCCCCAAGAGAGCCCCAAGACAGTCGAAGGCCTCCAAGACGCCCCAAGACACCCGAAAGTCCCCCCAACTGGCCCAAGAGGGCCCCAAGACTGCCCAAAAGGGCCCCACAAGGACCCTGAGAAGGCCAAAAGCAGTGATTTGCACACGGTTGTTGCATGTTTGTTGGTCTCCCTGTTTCTGGCTTTCGACGGCCCAGGACGGCGCAAGAGGCCCCCGAGATCTTCCCAAGATGGCCCGACAGGCCCCTAAGAGGGCCCCAAGGCGCCCGAAGTGGACCCCCAGGCGGCCCCGGAAGATCCCAAGACGGCCCAAGAGTGCCCCTAGAGGCTCCAAGAGAGCCCCAAGTGGGCCCCACGAGGTTCCCAATAGGACCCCAAGAGGCCCCACGGAAAGCTCCAAGACGGCCACAGCCCTCCCCAAGACGGTTCAAAAGGCGCGCAGGGATTGGGTTGCTTGACTGAGCTGGCCCCAAGTCCCAAAAGGGCCCCCCAAAGACCCCAAGAAAGCCCCAAGCGGGCCCCTATGAGGCTCCCGATAGAGCCCAAGAGGCCCCAAGGGAAGCTCCAAGACGGCCGCAGCCCTTCAAGACGCCCCAAAACGGCTCAAAAAGGGTGTAGGGACTGGGCAGTTTGAGTGTGGGGACTGAGCTGGCCCCAAGACAGCCCAAGAGGGTCCCAAATAGCCCAAAAGGGCTCCCAAAAGACTCCAAGAGAGCCCCAAGTGGGCCCCATGAGGCTCCCAATGAGGCCCCAAGAGGCCCCAAGGAAAGCTCCAAGACGGCCACAGCCCTTCAAGACGCCCCAAGACGGCTCGAAAGGAGTGTGTAGGGATTGGGCTGATTGTGTGTGGGGACTGAGCTGGCCCCAAGATGGCCCAGAGGGTCCCAAACGGCCCGAAAGGGCCCCCAAAAGACCCCCAAGAAGCCCCAGAGACACCAAGTAACACCATAGTTCCCAAGAGCGAGCTGTGACGTAACAAGCTCTCAACACCACGGCTCCCCATAGCGCGGTGACGTGAAAAGCCCTTAGTAGCAAGGCTCCCAAGAGCGAGCGGCAACGTAAAAGTCTCTGAACAACAGTGCTCCCAACAGAGAACAGTGACGCAACTAGCTGTTAACACAAAGGCTCCCAGGAACAAAGGGTGCCATGAGCCATCTCGGACAAGTTCCTGAAGCGCTCTTTCGGTTCCCGTGCCGGCCCAGGTAACGGAAAGAGCGAGGTACGAGTGGTGACGTTTTGGTGGGGCGCCGAAGACGGCCGAAGAGGGGTCCAAGAGAGCCTCAAGATGGCGAACGCGCCCCAACAAAGCCCAGGACCACCTAAGAGCGTTCCAAGATGGCTTCAGATGGCCTCAAGACGTCCCAGGAGGCCCCCATGAAGTTCCAAGGGGCCCTCAAGGGGACCCCCAACAGACAGGTGCGAATTGTTTCCTTAAATTTGATTCCTGGGGAGGAGCGGGCACGGAGGGGAGACGAGACCAGGGCCGGGGGGCAGGGCATGAGACGCGGAGTCGCCGGGCTCGCGGGCAGCCGAGGCCACGATGCGACGTCACATGGCTGGTCCGCCGCTCGCCCTGGGGAGCCCCTGTCGCCGCAGCTGGATTCGCGTCGGAATTCTGGCCGGAGCGCGCTCCAGGAGCGGTCCAGGGACTGGCTGCGTCGATGCCGTTTGGCTTGAAGAGCTACGCGACGGCGCGAGGGGGGGGGGCGCCCGACCTCCGCTGGAAGCAGGCGGAGGTAAATCGAAGACGCTTCGTGCGCGAGGGCTGTCGGAGGGAGCCGCCGTGGGCCGGGGGGGGGGGGGCTTGGGGCCCAGCGGCCCTCTTGCAATACTAATTAAAGTAGCCCTCTGCTCCAGGGCGCAGGGGCGTAGATGCGCCCTGCACCACCTTCATTTAGTATTATAATAGGAGTAGGGGCGGCGAACCTGCGATCGCCGATCCGCGTCGTTTTATAGGGTCCGGCGCCCGACCGCGGTGGCTCCAGCTTGGTTCCGCGATGGTTCCGAGAGGTTGACATGTCACGAACCTTTATGAATTCAGAGGGTTCCTGCTTGGTTCCACGATGGTTCCACGATGGCTCCGACGTCGCAAATGTGACGAAACCCTATGAATTCACATGTATCCTGCCTGGTTCCACGATGGTTCCGACGTCGCAAGTGTGACGAATCCCTATGAATTCACAGGGTTCCTGCTTGGTTCCACGATGGTTCCACGATGGTTCCAACGTCGCAAATGTGACGAAACCCTATGAATTCTCTGGGTTCCTGCCTGATTCCAGCTCGGTTCCATAATGGTTCCGACGTCGCAATTTTGACAAACTTTTATGAATTCTCAAGGTTCCTGCCTGGTTCAACGATGGCTCCAACGTCGAAAGTGTGACGATACCCTATGAATTCTAAGGGTTCCTGCTTGGTTCCACGATGGTTCCGACGGCTTCTACAACGCAGGCTCAGGGGCAATCGCCGAGGCTCAGGGGCAATCGCCGAGGAGTACCACGGGGCGTTGACGCGCCACGACCTGAAGGCGTTTTTTCCCGCGGACGCTTCTGCGCAGCCCGGCCAGCTCCAGGAGGTCATGCTCCACGAGACAGCGGTGTCGTGGATGCGGGACAGTCTCGCGAAAACGCTCCCGAAACGATGCCGGGAGGAGACCCTGGAGGCGCACCGCGCCCGGCTGAAGGCCTGCGCGGTGCAAATTAATAGCGTTTGTGACGTCGGCGGCCTGCGCCGCGAGCTGCTGTCCAGGGTAAAGAGCTTGGAGCGCCGCCAGGGAGACCGCCTCGCCAAGTGATGCGGCTCGATGAACAATAGCGCGCGCCCAATGGAAGGAAACTTTCGCACCTGTCTGAAGAGAGCCTGGGGATGTCAAAAACATGGATTTCCCGTGGGTTTCTATTTGTTTCGATTCTCACCGTTCGGACCAAGAACGGCCCAAGAGGCCCCAAGGATCGCCCCAAGACGGCCCCAGGGGCCCCAATAAAGCCCCAAGACGGCCCAAGATCTCCCGGCCCAGCTGACGCTGTCGGAAGCCGTTTTGGGGCCTCTCTGGGCCGACTTGGGCCCTTTTCGGGTGCTCCAAGGCCGTCTTGGAGGCCATCTTGGGCGTCTTGGATGCCTCTTGGGCCAGTTTGGGGCCGTCTTGCCTCTCGGGTCGTTCTGGGGCCATGCTGGAGGCCTCTTTTGGGCGATCTTTGGGGTTTCTCGGGCCGTCTCGGGCCGTCGGAAGGCCGAAAAGAAGCAGATGCCATAATTCTTCAAAAGCACAAGGACATTCCATGATGGTCGCCTCTTCGGGCCCTCCTGGAACACCTCCTGGAGGTTTCTTGTGCCGTTTTGGACGCCTCTCGGGGGCCACTTGGGCCTTCGTGGATTGTCTGGGAGGCCTTTCGGGCGGACGTGGAGGCGTCTTGGACCTTCTTAGACCATCTTGGAGGCCACGTTGGACCATCTTGGGCGAGTTTGGAGGCCATCTTGAGCCATCTGAGCCGTCTTGGACGCCGTCTTGCCTTTCCGTGTGGCCAGCGGGGCGCGCCGAAGCACCAGGGGATAGGTTTTTTTGGAAAGGACCAACGCCAAACCAGTAGGGCTCAGCACGCCAGGCACCCCTGTGGCAAGACCGCAGGGGGCGGCGGATCGAATGGCCTGCGGCCCATCCCGCCACCATGCCTGGGCTGTGGGCATGAAGCATATTGGATGTTCGTTGGGACCTCGCGGGGTGCCTCTCGGGGACTTCTTAGAGGCAGTGCTGAGGCCTCTTAGGGGCCGTTTTGGGGCTTTTTGGAGCTTCCTGAGGCCTCTTAGGGGCCGTTTCGGTGCCTCGTGGAGCCTCTTGGGGCCTCTTGGGCGCTTCTTGGGGCTTCTTGGGGGCCTCTTGGGGGCCTCTTGGGGCCTTGCAGGCCCTCCGGGGGGCCTCTTTGGGCGGAAGGTTCGGATTTTCGGTTCGTGTCCCCCTCTGTTGGGCCCCTCTAGGGGCCGTGTCGGGGCCGTCTTGGGCGCCTTTTGGGCCGTCTCGGGGCGTTCTCAAGCCGTCTCGGGACCCTCTGTGGTCTTGGGCCCTTTGGGCTGTCTCGCAGCGTCGGACAGCCGAACAGGCGAGAGCGCCAGAAAATCGGTCGAACACCTTAAGGGAAGTCCCAGATTTTTGCCTCTTGGGGCCCGCTTGGGAATCCCTTTGGAAGCCTCTTGTGGCGCTGGAGGCCTCTTCGGCCATCTTGAGGCCGTGCAGGCGTCTTGGAGCGATCTTGGGGCCACTTGGGGCAGTCTTTGACCATTTTGGGGAGCTCTTGCAGCCATCTGGGCTCGTTTGGGGGCCCTCTTGGGCGGGGTAGAGAGACGCGAGCGAATCTGGCAGACCCCGAGCTGGCCCAGCAGACCCCGGGCTGGCCGGGGAAACGATTGGTCCGGGCCTTTAAGGACTTCCAATTCTGGCTGCAGTAGCAGCACAGCCCTCTCAGCGCTACATAGGCCTTGGGGCACGCCACTTCGTGCCAGAGGCACCGTGGCGAATGTTGTGCAATCGATGTTGTACAATATACGTTGTGCCGATTCCGCAGGGCGATATGTGGTGCAAGCTACGCGAAACGATCCACGTTGTGCAACTACGTGGTGCAATTCATTGTGGAACTCGCAGTTGTCGGCTCCACTGCTCGCGCAATCATCCCACCCACCCACCCGCAATTCGTCTTGCAAAACACATGCGGCGGCAATTGCGATGAGTGCTCGGCGTTGGCTGGTGCATCTCTGCGGCCGCGCTACTCTGGGCATTTCCCAACACGCACTTCACTGCGAGTCGGCCACTTGGGCGGGCGCGGTACCATGGCATCGTCGACAACGGTAGACACGATGATGAAAGTAGCGACGCTGGTGGCAATTATGACAACAGCGACGGCAAGGCCAGTGACGCCGCCAATGCTGATCATGCCGACGACGATGACGGCGTCCTCGCGTTGGTGGGGAAAGTTTTGGAGGAAGTTCGACATGCGCGCGCGGCCGACGCGCGAGGGTGACCCGCCTGGTGTTATTTGACACGGATCGTGCCCCCCCCCCCCCCCCCAGCACGCGCGCAAAGGCGTTCGAATCAATTCGCATGCGCCGTAAGAGGACCGTTTTGCCGAATGTAATGAAAATGTTGAAAACCAATGATTCAAAGAATTTGCAGGAGCGCGAGCGCAAGCTCTTTTGAAAACGGATGTTGCCAAACCGTGTGTTTGCATATGGTTTCAGACGCTCGATTTCGAAACCCCTGCAAGTCTCAAGGTTTTCGAAATATTTCGGCATGCGCGCGTGACGACGCGCGCGCGCGTGCACTTCTTCTCGTCTGTTGTAAGGGGTTATTGCGACCGCACACGCGCAACGGCGTGCGAATGATTTCGCAACGCGCGCCCGAAAGGTACATTCGATAGCATGTTATGAAAATGTTGAAAACCGATGGTTGCTTTAAGAAACTGCAAGAGCGCGAGCGCAGGTTTTTGTTTGAAAACTCGGGTTGTGAAACCATGTGTTTCGGTATGTTTCGGAGCATTCAAAGTTGAAACCCTTCCGGAACATATGGTTTTTGAAGGATTCCGACATGCGTGCGCGACGACGCGCGCGTGTGTCCTTCGTTTTTCTGTTGCAAGGGATGTATCGAAAATGGTTTATTTGTGCCAGACGAACGCGCGCGCATCACATGTGCTGCCGAGGATGAAGGGGGGCCATAACGGCGTGCCTGGGATGGTATTAGCTCATATCTAGGATGGACGAGTGGGCATAATCACATGTAAACCCCTCGCCGTTAAGTCGGGGGGGATCTTATTTTTCTGAAAAGGAGAATCTGGCGGCGACGGGCGGCTACGGCGGCGACGAGGCGGCGACGGCGACAACACAGCCGCCAGAGTGGCAGAAAGGCCCAGACGACGGGCGGCGACGAGGCGGCGACGGGGCGGCGACTAAGCGGCGACGGGGCGGCGACGGCGGCCACATAGCCGCCAGACAGAAGACACGACCAAATTCCTTAAGACACCAGCAAGGACCCCTAACTGCAAGCAATGTTTGGGGAATGAAGGAGCACGGGGAGTTGGAGGGACATGACAAGGCGAAGCAAAGATGGAGGAGGATGAGGAGGAGGAGGAAGAACAAGAAGGGAGAGGGAGCAGCAATGGAAAGGAGGGGAAGAGAGGAGGAGGAGGAGGAGGAGGAGGAGGAGGAGGAGGAGGAGGAAGAGGATGAGGAGGAGGAGGAGGAGGAGGAGAAGAAGAAGAATGAGGAGAAAGAGGAGGAGGAGGAGGAGAAAGAGAGGAGGAGGAGGAGGAGGAGGCGAGGAGAAGGAGGTCAGTGGCCTCAGCAGGTGCTGCAGTTCTGCCACGCGGCACAGCACTGGGCCACGCGCCGCATCAGCAGTTTCTCCGCCCAGTCGCTCGCCAACGTGATCGCGGCATGTGCTGCCTTGGGCCCTCTGGGGAGGAGGAGGAGGAGGAGGAGGAGGAGGAGGAGGAGGAGGAGGAGGAGGAAGGACGGAGGAGGGATAAGGGAGGAGGAGGCGGGGACGGAGAAGACGAGGGAGGAGCGCGAAAGAGGAGGAGGAGGAGGAGGAGGAGGAGGAGACGCAGGAGCAGAAGCAGGAGCAGAAGCAGGAGCAGGAGCGCGAGCACGAGCACGAACACGAACACGAGCAGTAGCAGTAGCAGCAGGTGCAGGTGCAGGAAAGGGAGGAGGAGGAGGAAGAAGAAGAAGAGGAGGAGGAACGCGAGTAACAGGAAAAACAAGAGCGGCAGCAGGAGCAAAAGCAGGAGAAGCAGGAGAAGCCGGATGGGGCAGGAGGAGCAGGAGCAAAAGGAATAGAAACGAAGTTTGTGGTGCCGAAAAGCAGGACAAAGAAGAGGAGGAGAACAAGGTGAAAGAGTACGAGGAGGAGGAGGAGGAGGAGGAGGAGCACGAAGAGAAGCTTGATGCAGCGGTTCAGGCGGAGGCGGTTGTGGAGGCGGAGAAGGACAACGATGAGTAGTGGGAGGAGAAGGACGAGAAAGAGTAGGAGAGCAATGAGGGGGTAGCGAAGAAGGAGGTAGAAAAGGTAGAGGAGGAGGAAGACGACGACGAGGCCGATGAGGAAAGGAGGAGGGCAAAGAGGTGAAAGAGGAGGAGGAGAAGGAGGAGGAGGGGGAAATAGAGAAGGAGGAGGAGAGGGGCGAAAGGTACAGCAGCCGCAGGAGAAGTAGAAGCAGCAGGGGAAAGGTGGCAAGACAAGCAGCAAGAGCAGGAACTGCAGAAGGATGAGGAAGCGAGGGAGAAGGCAGAGAAGGAGGAGGAGCAGCAGCAGCAGCAGCAGAACTACGGGGAGGAGGAGGCCCCTTCCGGCGGCCAGGCCTGGACCGCTTGGCCAGGGTGGCCCAGACGGAGGTGATGCAACGCTCCCTCAAGCTCCCGCCATCTGGGTTGGTGGCCTTGCTCAGGTCCAGGGTCAGAAGGGGTGCCTTGCCGATGACCTCCCCTCCCTTCCCCTCCTCCTCCTCCTCCTCCTCCTCCTTCTCCTCCTCCTCCTCCTCCTCCTCCTCCTCCTCCTCCTCTTCCTCCTCCTCCTCCTCCTCCTCCTCCTGCTCCTCCTCCCCCTCCTGCTCGCCTGTTCTTGGACGCGGTTCTAGGCGCCCAGAACCAGCTGCGCGGCACGGGCGCGCGCGTCCGCGCCGCTCGGGGCGAGAGTTCGGTTCGCAGCTGAGCCACGGCCGCTCGGATGTGCCCTGGGACCGAATGGACAGACCGACGAGTCGACGAGCGGGACCGCATCGCCGGCCTCGCCCGACGCCGTGCTAGAGGTGCTCTGCAAGATGCAGCTTGCAAAGATCCGTGCATTGTTGAACAACCCTCCACGGCGCAGGCTCCACAACCTGGCCTCGCGGAGATGGCGGCGCACACGAGCGAGCATGCCCTTGCGGAGCTAAGCAGCAAGTGGTTTTACACGTCTTGACGCCCGCACGTGAACAAGCACCAGATGGAAGAATTTTCCAAGACCAAGTGCCACTGCAGCTGGCACACCGGTGCCGAAATGGATCCTGGCTTTGCTTGGGCGGAGATTGGGCCACGGCTTGGTACACTCTTCGCATGAGTGCGCGGTGTATGGGTTCATCTCCTGCGTGCATTGCGGCGCGTATGACACCAACCTCGGTCCTGGCCTGCGCAAAGAGTGCACCCAGGATATCAGTGAGAAAGTGTCAGAGATATCGAACAGAACTCACCAGAACTGCTGCCCATCGTACGCTGGGCCACCGAAGGCCGTTCTGCAGGACCAGGAGCTGCTCGCCGTACCAAAACGTGGCGAGGTCGGTGCCTGTGCGGAACTCGATGTCCCATGGTGAAACCGCCAGGTCAGACCACCGAGAGGGACGAGTACCGAAGGGGCTCCGCCAGGTCTTTGCGCATATCGGCAAGGCCATTGCGCTGCTGAAGGGAGCCCAGGGAAACCTGCGTCAGACCGACGAGAGGGACGAGCACCAAGGGTCGGGAGTCCAGCTCTACCACGCGCACTGGGTCACAGTGGTTAAGGAGGAGAAGGTCCTGAGCGGACCTCGCCCGTTGGGGCGCACGTGTCTGGCGTTGCGCCCAGTGCGAATCTCGTGACAGCAGCGCGGCCCACCCGCGCCGCCCAAGCTGCCAGCGCCCAGCTGCGGCGTCCGAGCGGCAGGAGGGGCAGTCCTTCCCTCGAGCCGTGCCCCGCGGCGCGGGATACTCAACAGGCGAGACTGCGCTCTCCGTGCTGCCCGTCGCGCGGCGAGGGGACGGACTCGAGGATGCCTGAAGAGGGCCGTTGGGGCTGTCTATGACGTCGCGGAAAGTGGTTTCGGCCATGCTCGCAGGCGGGGTTGGCGGCCCTTTTGCGGCCGAGTCTATTATCCTCCTCTTCCTCCTCCCCTCCTCCTCCATCCGTTTTCCTTGTGAATCACTCCTCCCGTCGCGCCCCCAGACGCGTCGGTAGAGCGGGCCGGACGCTTCGCTTGAGACTTGTTTACCGTATGACCTTGAAGCTTGTAAGTTGCACCAGCGTCACGAATGGAGGGCTGGCGGTTTTCAAATTATCGCATAGGCTGCGCGCACATTCGGTTAAAAGTGTGCAGCTGTTTCACGGATGGAGGGCGGGCAGGTAAAGGGGTTTTGTTAAATTGGTCGGGCTACCGTGCCCCCCCCCCCCCCCCAAAAAAAATAGCAAAAACAATTTTAGAGCCGCGCAGATTCGTTCTATTTGCAACAGATTCAAAAACGGTGGGCGGCTCTTTTTCAAAATGCCATTCTCGTTAAAGCGCCGAGAACATTCGGTTTCACAATCCGCAGCAGTTCCAAATATTCATGTGGCTGAAATCCCAGAAACTGCGTTATGCTATGATTCAGGACGCAACAACCACGTTGATTCGTTGTGTCGAAGTCCCAGGAGTGGTGTTCTGGCACCAGTTAGGATTGTCAGGACACAACGGTCACTTTGATTCACGGCGTTGAAATCCCAGGAACAATGCTTCGGCACAATTGAGGATTCTCTGACGGGTGTCTTCCAACGGGGCATTTCCCGCAATGGAAACAAATTCTTGTAGGGGCCATGAAGAGGGAGTTTGGATGGAGAGACCTATGATGTATGGACATCGTTGATAGGTTCTGGGCTTACACTGGTCCATGTATCATTCCTCATCTTGGTCCCCATCCTCCCCCTCGCATCCTCCCCCTCGCACCCTCCTCCTCCTCCTCCTCCTCCTCCCTCCTCCACCTCCCTCCTCCTCCTCCCCCTCCTCCTCCTCCTCCTCCTCCTCCTCCTCCTCCTCCTCCTCCTCCTCCTCCTCCTCCCTCCCCCTCCTCCCTCCCCTCCTCCTCCTCCCCTCCTCCTCCTCCTCCTCCTCCTCCTCCTCCTCCTCCTTCTGCTCCTCCTCCTCCCCCTCCTCCCCCTCGCCATCCTCCCCATCCTCTTACGCACCCCCCAAAAAACCATTCCCCCCTCCTCCCCGCGGAAGGCGGGCGGCGGGGAGCGGGACGGCGGCGGGAGCGAGCGCGCGCCTTCTGGCCCCGCGCCAGGGGGCTCCTGTCCAACCTCGCGATCCCGATCGCCGCCGCGTGCCCCGTGGCGAACTCCTTGGCGCACAACTTCCCGTCGAGCCCCGGCGACGTGAGCTCGTTGTCCCGCCTCTTCTTGCCCCGGCCTTAGTTGGTGTTGAAAAACGTTGGGGGCGTTAGAGCGACTCTGTTGTTGTTTCTCGTTTGGGGGTATGTTGTTTTCCGTTTGGGGGTTCTCGTTCGCGCCGTTTTCGGTTCGGTTCGTTCCGTATTGATATGTTTTGTTTGTTTAGGGGTGCCGTTGTTTTTGTTCCGCTTGGGTTGGCCAAAGCCCGAGCAAAGTCGCAAAAAAACATGAAACCAAATAAACACCCCCACAGCAAAAAATAGCCTGACGAAGGACCCAACCATATGCAGCTGCGAGTATCGCGAGGCAGGAGAGACGAAGGATGGGGTATCAGCAAAAGGATTGCGGCGTGGATGAGGCGGACAAGAGCTGACGCGGGCGAGCGGGCAGTGTTCTTTGTTTAGCTTGAGCCCCGTGCGCAGCCATTTTGTTTCCATTGTTTGGTCCCATGCACTTTGTGAGGGGTCTGCAAAAAGGAGCGCCGGGCACATGCGGACCCTGCCACTAGGGCCTCCGGTGGAGCTCCCTATGGGGCCACGAACCGCGAGAGGGGTGCGCCAAATTGGGCGCTGGGCACATGCGGACCCTGCCACTGGGGCCTTCGGTGGAGCTCCCCATGGGGCCCCGAATCGCGTGAGGGGTGTGCTAGCATGGGCGTCGGGCGCATGCGAACCCTGCCACTGGGGCATTCGGTGGAGCTCCCTATGGGGCTACGAACCGTGTGAGGGGTGCGCCAACATGGGCATCGGGCGCATGTGGACCCTGCCGCTGGGGCTTTCGGTGGAGCTCCCCATGGGGCCACAAACCGTGTTAGGGGTGTGCCAAAATGGGCGTCGGGCGCATGCGGACCTTGCCATTGGGGCCTTCGGAGGAGCTCCCTATAGGGCCCCGAATCGCGAGAGGGGTGCGTCAAAATGAGCGTCGGGCGCATGCGGACCCTGCCGCTGGGGCCTTCGGTGGAGCTCCCCATGGGGCCACAAACCGTGTTAGGGGTATGCCAAAATTGGCGTCGGGCGCATGCGGACCCTGCCACTGGAGCCTTCAGTGGAGTTCTCTACGGGACCACGAACCGTGTGAGGGATGTGCTAAAATGGACGTCGCCTACGGAGTCACGAACCGCGTGAGATGTCCAAATTGGGCGTCGGGCGCATGCGAACCTTGCCACTGGGGCCTTCGGTGGAGCTCCCCATGGGGCCACAAACCGTGTGAGGGGTGCGCCAAAATGAGCGTCGGGCGCACGCGGACCCTGCCGCTGGGGCCTTCGGTGGAGCTCCCCATGGGGCCACAAACAGCGTTAGGGGTGTGCCAAAATTGGCGTTTGGCGCATGCAGGCCTTGCCACTGGGGCCTTCGGTGGAGCTCCCTGTGGGGCCACGCACCGTGTGAGGGGTGCGCCGCCAAATTGGGCGCTGGGCACATGCGGGCCTTGCCACTGGGGCCTTCGGCGGAGCTCCCCATGGGGCCACGAACCGTGTGAGGGGTGTGCTAAACTGGGCGTCGGGCGCATGCGGGCCCTGCCACTGGTGCCTTCAGTGGAGTTCTCTACGGGGCCACAAACCGTGCGAGGGATGTGCCAAATTGGGCGTCGGGCGCATGCGGACCCTGCCACTGCGGCCTGAGGGGTGTGCTAGAATGGGCGTCGGGCGCATGCGGACCATGCCACTGCGGCCTGAGGTGGAGCTCCCTCCGTGCGAGGGGCATGTCACACTGGGCGTCGGGCGCATGTTGACCCTGCCACTGGGGCCTTCCGTAGAGCTCCCTGTGGAGCCACGCTCCGTGTGAGGGATGTGCCAAATTGAGCGCTGGGCACATGCGGACTTTGCCAATGTAACCTTCGGTTGAGCCCCCCATGAGGCCACGAACCGTGTGAGGGGTGTGCTAAACTGGGCGTCAACCGCATGCGGGCCTTGCCACTGGGGCCTTCAGTGCAGTTCTCTACGGGGTCACGAACCGTGTGAGGGGTGTGCCAAATTGGGCGTCGGTCGCATGCGGACCTTGTCACTGCGGCCTGGGGTGTGCTAGAATGGGCGTCGAGCGCATGCGGACCATGCCACTGCGGCCTGAGGTGGAGCCCCCTCCGTGTGAGGGGTGTGTCACAATGGGCGTCGGGCTCATGTTGACCCTACCATTTGGGCCTTCGGCAGAGATTCCCGTGAGGCCACGCACCGTGTGAGAGGTGCGCCAACTTGGGCGTTGGGCACATGTGAGCCTTACCACTGGGACCTTCGGTGGAGATCACCATGGGGCCACGAACCGTGTGAGGGGTGTGCTAAACTGGGCGTCGGGCGCATGCGGACCTTGCCATTGGGGCCTTCCGTAGAGCTCATTGTGGGGCCACGAACCGTGTGAGGGGTGCGCCAAATTGGGCGCTGGTCACATGCGGGCCTTGCCACTGGACCCTTCGGTAGAGCTCCCCATTGGGCCACGCACCGTGTGAGGGGTGTGCCGAAATGGGTGTCGGGCGCGTGCGGGACCTGCCATTGCGGCCTGAGGGGTGTGCTAGGATGGGCGTCGGGCGCATGCGGACCATGCCATTGCGGCCTGAAGTGGAGCTCCCTCCGTGCGAGGGGTTGACCTTGCCATTGGGGCCTTCTGTAGAGCTCCCTGTGGGGCCACGCACCGTGTGAGGGGTGCGCCGCCAAATTGGGCGCGGGGCACATGCGGGCCTTGCCACTGGGGCCTTTGGTGGAGTTCCCCATGGGGCCACGAACCGTGTGAGGGGTGTGCTAAACTGGGCGTCGGGCGCATGCGGACCCTGCCACTGGGGCCTTCAGTGGAGTTCTCTACGGGGTCACGAACCCTGTGAGGAGTGTGCCAAATTGGGCGCCGGGCGCATGCGGACCCTGCCACTGCGGCATGAGGGGTGTGCTAGAATGGGCGTCGGGCGCATGCGGACCCTGCCACTACGGCCTGAGGTGGAGCTTCCTTCGTGTGAGGGGTATGTCACACTGGGCGTCGGGCGCATGTCGACCCTGCCACTGGGGCCTTCGGTGGAGCTCCCCATGGGGCCGCGAACCGTGTGAGGGGTGCGCCAAATTTGGCGCGGGGCACACACGGGCCGTGCCACTGGGGCATTCGGTGGAGCTCCCCATGGGGCCACAAACCGTGTGAGGGGTGTGCTAAACTGGGCGTCGGGCGCATGCGGACCCTGCCACTGGGCCTTCAGTTGAGTTCTCTACGGGGTCACGAACCGTGTGAGGGGTGTGCCAAATTGGGCGTCGGGCGCATGCGGACCCTGCCACTGCGGCCTGAGGGGTGTGCTAGAATGGGCGTCGGGCGCATGCGGACCATGCCACTGCGGCCTGAGGTGGAGCTCCCTCCGTGTGAGGGGTATGTCACAATGTGCGTCGGGCGCATGTGAGCGTTGCCATTGGGGCCTTCCGTAGAGCTCCCTGTAGGGCCACGCACCGTGTGAGGAGTGCGCCACATTGGGCGTGGGGAGCATGCGGGCCTTGCCACTGGGGCCTTCGGTGGAGTTCCCCATGGGGCCACGAACCGTGTGAGGGGTGTGCTAAACTGGGCGTCGGGCGCATGCGGACCCTGCCACTGGGGCTTTCAGTGGAGTTCTCTACGGGGTCACGAACCGTGTGAGGGGTGTGCCAAATTGGGCGTCGGGCGCATGCGGACCCTGCCACTGCGGCCTGAGGGGTGTGCTAGAATGGGCGTCGGGCGCATGCGGACCATGCCATTGCGGCCTGAGGTGGATATCCCTCCGTGTGAGGCGTATGTCACAATGGGCGTCGGGTGCATGTTGACCTTGCCATTTGGGCCTTCGGTAGAGCTCCATGTGGGACCACGCACCGTGTGAGGGGTGCGCCAAATTGGGCGCGGGGAGCATGCGGGCCTTGCCACTGCGGCCTGCGGTGGAGCTCCCTCCGTGTGAGGGGTATGTCACAATGGGCGTCGGGCGCATGCGGACCCTGCCATTGGGGCATTCGGTAGAGCTCCCTGTGGGGCCACGCACCGTGTGAGGGGTGCGCCAAAATGGGCGCGGTGCACATGCGGGCCTTGCCACTGGGCCTTCGGTGGAGCTCCCCATGGGGCCACGAACCGCGTGAGGGGTGTGCTAAACTGGGCGTCGGGCGCATGCGGACCCTGCCACTGGGGCGTTCAGTTGAGTTCTCTACGGGGTCACGAACCGTGTGAGGGGTGTGCCAAATTGGGCGTCGGGCGCATGCGGACCCTGCCACTGCGGCCTGAGGGGTGTGCTAGAATGAGCGTCGGGCGCATGCGGACCATGCCACTGCGGCCTGAGGTGGAGCTCCCTCCGTGTGAGGGGTATGTCACAATGGGCGTCGGGCGCATGCGGACCTCTCCATTGGGGCCTTCCGTAGAGCTCCATGTGGGGCCACGCAGCGTGTGAGGGGTACGTCACAATGGGCGTCGGGCGCATGCGGGCCCTGCCATTGGGGCCTTTGGTAGAGCTCCCCATGGGGCCACGAACCGCGTGAGGGGTGTGCTAAACTGGGCGTCGGGCGCATGCTAGGGCTTTCAGTGGAGTTCTCTACGGGGTCACGAACCGTGTGAGGGGTGTGCCAAAATGGGCGTCGGGCGCATGCGGACCATGCCACTGCGGCCTGAGGGGTGTGCCAAAATGGGCGTCGGGCGCATGCGGACCATGCCACTGCGGCCTGAGGTGGAGCTCCCTCCGTGTGAGGGGTATGTCGCAATGGGCGTCGGGCGCATGTTGACCCTGCCACTGGGGCCTTCGGTAGAGCTCCCTGTGGGGCCACGCACCGTGTGAGGGGTGCGCCAAATTGGGCGCGGGGCACATGCGGGCCTTGCCACTGGGGCCTTCGGTGGAGCTCCCCATGGGGCCACGAACCGCGTGAGGGGTGTGCTAAACTGGGCGTCGGGCGCATGCGGACCCTGCCACTGGGGCTTTCAGTGGAGTATTCTACGGGGTCACGAACCGTGTGAGGGGTGTGCCAAAATGGGCGTCGGGCGTATGCGGACCATGCCACTGCGGCCTGAGGGGTGTGCTAGAATGGGCGTAGGGCGCATGCGGACCATGCCACTGCGGCCTGAGGTGGAGCTCCCTCCGTGTGAGGGGTATGGCACACTGGGCGTCGGGCGCATGTTGACCCTGCCACTGGGGCCTTCGGTAGAGCTCCTTGTGGGTGAGGGGTGCGCCAAATTGGGCGCGGGGCACATGCGGACCTTGCCACTGGGGCCTTCGGTGGAGCTCCCCATTGGGCCACGAACCGCGTGAGGGGTGTGCTAAACTGAGCGTCGGGCGCATGCGGACCCTGCCACTGGGGTCTTCAGTGGAGTTCTCTACGGGGTCACGAACCGCGTGAGGGGTGTGCCAAATTGGGCGTCGGTCGCAGGCGGACCCTGCCACTGCGGCCTAAGGGGTGTGCTAGAATGGGCGTCGGGCGCATGCGGACCATGCCACTGCAGCCTGAGGTGGAGCTCCCTCCGTGTGAGGGGTATGTCACACTGGGCGTCGGGCGCATGTTGACCCTGCCACTGGGGCCTTCGGTAGAGCTCCATGTGGGGCCACGCACCGTGTGAGGGGTGCGCCAAATTGGGCGCGGGGCACATGCGGGCCTTGCCACTGGGGCCTTCGGTGGGGCTCCCCATGGGGCCACGAACCGTGTGCCGAAGGCAGTGGTGATGAGGATGACGATGACGATGCTAACGGTGATGGCCGCACGCGGAGAGCAGAGGCAGGAGTGGGAGGAGGAGCGGAGGAGAGGAGAGGAGAGGAGAGGAGAGGAGAGGAGAGGAGAGGAGAGGAGAGGACGCGGGGCGCTGTCTCCTCAGAACGAAGACCCAACACCACAGGATGGTTGGTAAAAGCATGCCAGAAGCACGCCCCTGGCGTTGTGACGTCGACTGAGGTCCCGACACCCAGAGCGTTCTGAGGAGCCCTCTCGCGCCGAGCTGCTCGAGTGGTGCGTGCAGCTCTCCCTCGACGCCTCGGCGGCCTGCGCGCGGGCGGCCGCAGCGGGCGCGGAGGCGCACCCCGAGGGCGAGGATTGCGGGAGCCCGCGGAGCGACGGCGGCGCGGAGCCGGCGGTGCTCGGAAGGGGGGTGGGCGCGAGGGGGACGGCAGCCATCTGAGGAGGGTCCCAAGACGCCCAAGGAGGGCTCCTCCCTCCTCCCCCTTCGCACCCTCCTCCTCCTCCTCCTCCTCCTCCTCCTCCTCCTCCTCCTCCTCCTCCTCCTCAGGAGGCCCCCCCCCAGAGAGTCCCAGGGCAGCCCCGAGGAGGCCCGAGCCAGCCCTCCAGACCCGAGCCTCCTTGGTATCGCTCGGACGTGTGCACTTTTTTTCTCGCTGGGGATTATTGAGGAGTATCCTGGACCATCCTGCGAAAAAAACACGCACGAAACCGCAAAAAAAACAGGGAATGGACGTCCGAGCGATGGGCACGGTTGAGTCAGTTTTCCAGCGGCTATCGGCTACACATTTGGCCAGCGGCCGCGGGTGGGCAGGAGGCGCTCATGATGTTCGGTGCTGGCCCTCCGGCGGACAAGAGAGCGCACAGGCGATCGTTCTTGTTGGTCCGTCCGGCATTTTGCCAATGCTTCCTCCCAGATCAGTCGCAGAGTTCGGACGGGGCCAGGACGAGGATTAAATCCGTTCCAGGGCGTTCCGGCACGCTCTGAGAGCGCTCCGGAACGCTCTGAGAAGACCGCGGCGCCCGAGACATTTTCTAGAGCCGAGGGGTCTCAGAGATTCTCGATGTATCCTCACCCGATGTTATCTTCGTCTTGGCTTCGTCTTAAGTGTGTTCCATACTCGCCGAGACGTAATGGGGAGGGCATCCTTCTGAAGAGGGCAGGGGGGGTTCTCGGGAGGCGCCTCGCGCCTCCTGGGAGGCTTTCTGAGAGTCCCCCACTGCCCTCTCTCGGAAGCCCCCCCCCCTCACCCCACCCTCTCCCGCGCGCCGTCAGAGGTGCACCGCGTGAAGAACACTTTCATCGAGTGCCTCGACGAGGAGATCGCGGACATGAGGACAAAGGCGAACTTCTTCTGCTCAGCACCGCCGGTGGTCCGCAAGGAGGAGCGCGTTACGATCTAGGTCATGATCGCCTTAGTTGCCGATGGCGCGATTGCGGATCGGTTGCTCGTGGCACTCCAAATCTGCGATCGACACACTTGCATGGCCAAAACGTAACCAGTATCGAACATCCCGTTGAATGGCGGAGATGACATCGTGTCTTCATTTTTTCTGAGCGGCGGCACGACCTCTGAGATATCAAGGTGGCACGTTCGCTGATAAGGCTCAGGGGAAACACTCCGCCAGCCGATGTACTCGAAGGACGTTTTTTTACGACTCCGTTATAGGCCATCAGCGATTGCCACGTGCCGTTTTTGTTTTGAACTATCTCGTTGCGCAGAGCACTGGTGTACCTACATGTTGAGTCGATTTCGGCCCGGCAGAAGTTTAATTCATTTTTGACGTGCGAGGATTTTAGTCTCCGGCGGAAGCCGCAAGACACAAAAGTTACGTCCGTGACAATTTTCCTGTCTACTGAACTTTGCTGTGCCAACCTCCCCTGACGTGCGCGAGCAGACGCACGTGCTGCTGAAGGTATATACTTCCCATTTTGGTGATGTATTCGGCATAAGCCCCCATTTGTTGTTGCTCCTCTCTCTCTCTCTCTTTATCTCTCCCTGTCGGGGCCCCGATAATTGCGCCACGGGGCGTCGAATTACATAGCCCGCCTTATCGCGGCATGGCGCGCCATTTTCTCCCGCTTTGATGCGGGCTCAGAAGTGCCGAGAGAGAGAGAGAGGCATACACATGCCCGATGGAGACCCCGGTCAAGCAGCTCGGCGAACAATGGCCCGAGCGACGTGGGCACTCACACGGGCAACTTGCCGATCGGAGTCTTGCAAGCAGGGGAGAGGAACAGCAGCAGCAGAGAGGGAGGCTATGACAATGGCTATGGCCGTAGCATTTGGGTAAATCCAGCCAGCCGCCACGCGGCCGAAGGCGCGCCAGTCGCCGTCCGCAGGCCAAAGTTCTTTAGCGCTGGCCTCGCCCTCGTCTCCAGATGCCCACTCGCGGCGTGCACACCGAGCCCGACGCCTGCCCGGCGCCCGGCGCCCGCTCTGCGCCCGTGCGCTGCTGACGGGCCAGATGATGAAGTGCTTGAGGGCATGTTTGTCGCACTGCATCACCCGTCCTTTTATGTTTGTGATTTCCCTGCTCGCGCACCATCTGGTGCAGGGCGAACTTGATTTGGCGTGGCTCACATATCCGACGACATGTGTTTGCAAGACCGGTGATGCACGACTGCAAAGTTTGATTCTTATCATCGCGGTAGTTGCATTGCGCACGGTGAAGAAAGATATCCAGCTGCCGGCGGCAAGCCCACCACGTGCCAGCGCGGCATCGAAAGGCATCCAAGATGGTTGTTCTGAGATCTCTTTTGGGCAGGCTCGGTAGAGCCATCTCAGGGCCTTCCGATGGAAGGCCCATTGGGGTCCTGTTAGGAGTCTTGGGGTCTGAGTGCCATCTTGCGAGCGATGGTTCCACCGAGCTCTCCAGAGGAGGGTCGGGAGAGCCATCTTGGGACCGTCTGGCGGGACCTCCGGGTGCCATACTGGACGATCTTGGGATTATCTGGCCGTGTGGGGGTTCTGGTGGGGTCGTCTTGGAGGGTTCTCGCACCTTTGGGCACCATCTGTAGGTTTCCTAAAGCTTTCCCGAGGCAATCTTGGGCCGACAAAGGTGTCCAGCGAAAAAAGATGCTGGCGAAGGACCCAGCCATGTGCAATTGTGAAAACCGTGTTGTGGCGCTGCTTTCGGTGGAGCTCCTTACGGGACCACGACCCATGTGAAGAATGCGCCAAAAGGGGGCGGCACCGCCGTGCAAACTCCGCCGTTGGGGCATTCGGAAGGGCTCCCTATGGGGCCGCGAACCGTGTGAGGGGTGCGCCAAAAATAAACGGCGCAGCCATGTGGACCTTCCCATTGGGGTCTTCGGTGTAGCTCTATATGGGGCCACGAACCTTGTAAGGGGTGCAGCAGAATAGGGCGGCGCCGCCATGTAGACCCTGCTACTTGGGCCTTCGGTGTAGCTGCCTATGGGGCCACGAACCGTGCGCGGGGTGCGCCAAAATGGGGCGGCGCCGCCATATGAACCCTTCCGCTGGGGCCTTCGGTGGACCTCCCTATGGGGCCACGAACCGTGACCTTCGGCGGAGCTCCCTATGGGGCCACGAACCGTGACCTTCGGCGGAGCTCCTTATGGGGCCACGAACCGTGTGAGGGATGTGCCGAAATGAAGGCGGCGGTGCCATGCGGACCCTCCAACTGGGGCCTTCGGTGGAGCCCCCTTTATGGGGCCACGAACCGTGTGAGGGGTGCGCCAAAATTAGGCGGCGGTGCCATGCGGACCCTCCAACTGGGACCTTCGGTGGAGCTCCCTATGAGACCCGCGAACTGTGTGAGGGATGCGCCAAAATGAGGCGGCGGTGGCATGCGGACCCTCCCACTGAGGCCTTCGGTGGAGCTTCCTATCGGGCCACGAACCGTGTGAGGGGTGCGCCAGGATGGAAACGGCGCAGCCATGCGGACCTTCCCATTGGGAGCTTCGGTGGAGCCCTCTATGGGGCCACGAACCGTTTGAGGGGTGTGCCAACATGAAGCGGCGGTGCCATGCGCACCCCCCCGCTGGGGCCTTCGGTGGAGCTCCCTATGGGGCCCGCGAACCGTGTGAGGGGCGTGCCGAAATGAAAGCGGCGGTGCTATGCGGACCCTCCCATTGGGGCCTTCGGTGGAGCCCCTATGGGGCCACGAACCGCGTGAGAGGTGCGCCAAGATAAGGCGGCGGTGCCATGCGGACCCTCCCACTGTAGCCTTCGGTGGAGCTCCCCATGGGACCCGCGAACCGTGTGAGGGGAGCGCAAAAATAAGGCGGCGATGCCATGCGGACCCTCCCACTGGGGCCTTCGGTGGAGCTCCCTCTGGGGGCCACGATCCGTGTGAGGGGAGCGATGAGGATGACGATGGTGATGATGACGGCGCGCGGAGAGCAGAGTCAGGAATGGGAGGAGGGAGGAGGGGGAGTAGGAGTGAGGAGGAACGCGGAGCGCTGTCTCTTCAAACAGAGGACCCAACACCACAGGATGGTTGGGAAAAAAATAAACCCGGCGCGACCCCAATTAAGGAAAAGCCTATCGCATGGGCGCATCGTTGAGCATTATTTGGCATTGCTTGCATGCATGGCATTGCTTGGCACTGATTGGCATTGCTTGGCATTGCTTGGTACTACTTGGGCATTGCTTTGCATGTTTTGGCATTGCTTGGCATTGCTTGGTGCTGCTTGGTATTGTTTTGCATTGTTTGGCATTGCTTTGCATGGGTTGGCATTGCTTGGCATTGCTTGACATTGCTTGACCTTGCTCGGCATTGCCAAGTAATGCCAAGCACCTGAGAAACGGGGGGAACCCGAGGAATTTCCGAGGAACGGACAATGTAACAATAGGAGGCACCAACCTTTAACCAAGTAGGAACCCCTTAGTAAGCAAGCCTCACTGGAGAATGTCAATGCTTTTGGTTTCCCAAAGCCGTCCTGGAGGACTCCCTGGGCGCCTCTTGGGAGCGTATTTGGAGCTTGCGGGGGCATCGTGAAGGCATATGATGGCCTCTGCTTGCCTCTGGATGCGCTTGAGTCTTGAAGCCGTCTTTGGCTGGTCTCGGGGTGCACGGCAGCCGTCTTACGGCGGTCTCGAGCAGTCTTGGGGTCGTCTTCGGGTTTCCAGACTCCGAAGAGCACCAGGCAGGGTGGCTTTGTCTCCCTCCCCCCCCGATTCTAAAGCGAGCTGGGGGACGTAAGGAGTGGAAGCGAGCGTGCGCCCGCGGCCTCGTTGGCTCAAGCGGCCGGCCGCCCAGATTTAACTGTGCCTCACCGCGAGGCACACAATCGCTATCGAGACCAAAAGGATATTCCTATTGCTTGAGATGGCATCTCCTCTTCTACTGGGATTATCGTTACTACGATACAACAGGGCAGGAGCTTGGCCTCGCCTGAGGCGAAGCTGTTGGCTGGGCCTTCCAGCCCCCTTCAAACTAACCCGAGGAACCTCTGAGGAACGGGCATCGTAACAAAAGGAGGCACCGGGGGCGGGGAACCTGAGGACCCAGGGTACCCATGGAACCTCCGGGAAACGGGCGACGTAACAATAGGAGGCACCGGGGGCGGGGAACCCGAGGAACCCGAGGAATTTCCAGGCAATTGCGTTGTAGCGTGCCCCTGCGGGCCGAGGCCACGGTGATGGACCAGCAAAGCTAGAAACGTATGTTCCTTGGTAGCTCTCAGGTTGTCTCGCGCTGGTGTTACGGTGGCGGCCGCCGCTTTCCACGCACACGTCTCTTATATGCTGGATGGCGCTGTAGCCGCCGCCTTTAGTCGCCAGGATTGCTAGGGCGCGTGCTGCTCCCAGCGCGTGGTTTCGTTGTACTTGCCTTGTCTTGGCGTCTGCAGATGCTGGCATTCATTGTTTCAAAATGCCTGGAAGTTTTGGACGCCGTCCAGACTACAACTTTGGCTGCGGCGCTGTACTGGGCAACGTGCGTATGTTTGACCATGGCACACGAAGGAAGAAGCATTGGGCCCTTCCGATAAACAAGTCTGAACATGGCACACTGCAGGTGAAGCATCTGGCGTTGGCTCCCCGCGTGGTATGAGCCATCGGGGCTCTTCCCAGTAGATCCTGCGTGGTCTGAGCCATCGGGATGCTTCCGGGTACAGGTTTGTTTGTGCAGGCAGCTGAGGGGAAGAGAGGAGACAAACTCATGTATATTGGTTTTTTTTTGATTCGAAGTCGCGTTTGCACCTGAGTACTAAGTATCGAGTGTTGTCCAGATGGCCTGCTTAGGTGTTGCGATACTTCTTGGTATTCGGATGTGAGGGGGTGAGATCGAAGTGGAACGGAGAGCCCCCCTACCGGGAAATCGGTTTCGGATTCGTGTTCGTGCGTGCCGTACGTGCGGGCGAGGCGAAGCTGCGTTGGCGGGCGAGAAGTGTCCCGCCTCTGGCTGAGGCGCGGCCGGACCAAAAGTCTCCCTTCCGGCAACCGGTGCCGCGCGGTGTCCCGCCGGTGTCCCGTCGGTGTCGCGATGATAATGATGACGATGTTGATGAATGTGATGATGATGATGATGATGATGATGATGATGATGGCCATGGTGGTGATGATGATGGTGCCCCGATGATGATGATGATGATGATGATGATTATGATGATGATGATGTTGATTATGTTGATGTTGATGATGATGATGATGCTGATGATTTTGATGATGATGATGATATGATGGTGATGAAGATGACGATGCTTGTGTCCCAATGATGATGAGGAGGAGGAGGTTGATGTTGATGCTGTTGATGATGATGGTGATGATGATGGTGTCCCGATGATGATGATGATGTTCATGATGATGACGATGATGGTGTCCCGACGATGATGCTGCTGATGAGATTGATTATGAGGTGGTGATGATGATTTTGATGATGGTGTCCCGGTGATGATGATGATGATGATGCTGATGTTGATGATGATGGTGTCCCGATGATGATGATGATGATGATGTTGGTGCTGATGGTGACGATGATAATGGTGTCCCGATGATGCTGATGTTGATGATGATGTTGTTGATGATGATGGTGTCCCGATGATGATGATGATGTTGATGATGTTGTCCATGATGATGACGAGATGATGATGATAATGGTGGTGTTCCGATGATGGTGATGATGGTGTCCCGGTGATGATAATGATGATGATGGTGACGATGATGGTGTCCCGATGATGGTGCTGATGGTGATGATGATTATGGCCATGGTGGTGATGATGATGGTGTCCCGATGATGGTGATGATGATGATGCTGATGATGT